GGTTTTTTGGGCCTTCAACATTTCACAGAGCAGAATGGTGATTCATTATATCAGAAGGAAACGGGAGGCATTCAGTCACATAAAACTGCCCTAAGTCTTTAAATACTGCACACTGAATCAAGTTTTCCTCTTTCATTTCTTACCCATGTTGTCTGCTGTGATGCTGAGAGCTGCTATGAGCTATTTTTACCACAAAATTAAGAAAGAAGTTGATCTGCTATGAAAAGTAGTTCAGGTTGATTTATTTATTTGTTTTTATAGAAGGCATAACCCTTCCTGGCAGTTGAATTTGAACAAAGAGGGGGAAACTGTTTCCACGGAAAGATTAAACTTTGCTGGAGGTAGAAAGCTACGGGAAATTCTTACCCAGAGGCAGGAGACTGTGAGAGGCGTGACAGGAAAGTTTACCCAGCAGAGGTGGACCCAGAATCATCCAGACCAGCGCTGGTGTGGTCTGGATGATTCAGCTGGGATAGGCTCCAGCCCCCCGTGACACTAGTGAGGATTAAGCAGTGTACAGATAATGGATGGTATTAATTGATTATCAAAATAGTTGTCAATGAATTTAATAGTTGACAACTAGTCAATTAACTGTTGTGACTGTAGTGAGTAGCAGCAACATCAGAACGATATATCACTATGATACCATTTACTATGAAAGCAGAATTGTACTAAATTAATATCACACAGAGTTTGGGTACATTAATGTAGAAATATAATTTTTCGAAAATGACATCTGACAGTAAAATACACTTCTTGTTTAGTGCAAGAAATGTGCTGATAAATTATACACATTTTAAGGACTTCGTGACATCGTGTTCTAATTATATTTTCATAAAACAGTAATTACAACTCTAGAATGAACATAATAATTTCATGTTTCTTCATCAGGTTAAGTATGTATAAGACAAAAACATCTGTGAGTTATTATGTTCTGAAGCAGGTTTCATGAAAGGTTCATAAATTCAGCCAAAAACAGAACAAAACAACAACAACAACAACAAAAACATATACTGGTCAAATAACAAGATATTTAACTAAAACTAGGTACAATCAGAATTGCAGATAATTACCTAAAAACATCTCAGATTTTATTAATTGTAGATGCTGAGCAGTGAAACTTCATACATGGTTCATTCATATCGACTGGATCTAACATGTGATCATGGGGTTCATTAGCACAGCGCTGTCTGTTCATTGATTCCTGCTGTATCACACTAGACTGTTGTTCTTTCAGCGTGTTAGCCACTTCAACAGCGGGAACTTCCATCTCTGTTTTCCTCTCTTCTTCTTCAACTCTGGATAAAATGGCATCACCATGACAGCTTTCTTTTTGTCTGATGTCAGTTGGCCTTCATGCAGAGAGTCATGGATGTTCTGCCATGAGTTCATCTCTGTGCTCCACAAAGCACTTCTGGCTCTGATGAGCTTTGAGACTTTAGTCTCGCTGCCTTTAGCCAGACTGATACTGTCTTTGCAGATGAAGAAGATGTCCATGCCAAGGAAGAGACCATTGAATGCAAAGGAACCGGCCCTGGAGAGAGCAAGAGGCCCTTTGACTGCTGCCTGACCAATTTCTGGGATTTCTGTAGCCACCATGGAGATCCTACTTAAAGCTCTCCCTTCCTCAGCCACCAGTTTACTAACGGTAGCACCAACGTTAGCACTAACTTTAGTGAGGGCCATACCTACTCCCACAGCCACTTCTACGTCATTTGCTTCCATTTTGATGACTGGTTTACTGGCCACCTTCTCCAGACAATCCTGGAGACTCTGCACATCCTTCATGAAGCCCTCAAAGGTTTCACCAGCTTTCTTTTGTTGTGCAGCATTTACTCCGATCTCTGTGATGGTGGTGACAGCACTGTTGACCGCACTGCCCATTCCCAGCCCAACCCCAGTCATTGTCAGAGCTAAAGAAACTCCAGCTGTGACGGGAGTTAATGCCAAACCAACAATGGACAGCACACCTGCAATTGCCCCCACTGAGCTGCCTATCACACTGGAGATCTTTGCGCCCTTATTCATTTTATCAAGCTTAACAGCAATCTCCTCCAGCTTGACTAGAAACTCCAGCATCCTGGGCTGTCGCTCTTTGAACTGACTGATGAAGTCAGAACAGGACTCTTCCTGGAACAAGAACACCATCCGAAATGTGTGGTTCATCCTGAGTGGAGAGAAAAGGAAATTAAGGGAAAATGATTTTAGGGTATCTTTTGTTGAAGGCTACAAGACAAAAAATATTTCAATAGAAATATTCATAAATTACATTAAAAATGATATTTAGATCCAAACACCTGCTTGACAAGATCTGGGCTGCTTCCAGTTTTCTTTATTGCAGTGAATTACACAACATTTAAACCACCTGACTCAGGTATATATCCTACTTGTACCACCAAAGCAGTCGAAGCCTGGACTCCACAGACCTCTGAAGGTGTCCTGTGATATCAGGTGCCAAAGTCACCCAAAGTCTCCCACTAGAACATTGCTTAACATTATGCATCCCGCTGTTTTCCCTTCCTCAAACCACCTTCCTCCATTGCTCAGTGGTCCAGTTCTAATACTAACGTGTCCATTGTAGGAGTTTTTGGTAGTGGACATAGATTCGCAGATGGGCACACTAACCAGGGAGTATTGGGTTTCCATGACCCAGTCACCACTTCTTGTCCTTTCTTGGACCACTTTTTGGAGGTACTAACGTCTGCATGCCAGCTATCTGATCCTGTTATCTAACCATCTCAGTCTGTTACTTACACCACCAAAACCCTTACATTCATCCATTTTCGTCTACTTGTCTTTTCCCAGGATTAGATCGCGATGGCACCAGGTCATTCCAGAGGTGAAAGTGTGCCCAGGCCAGGTGAGATATGTAATATTTCCAGCAACTCTGGATCTAACCCAGGGTCTCCTTCCAGCTGGTTGTGCCTGATAAACCTTTCAAAGGAAGTTGCGCAGGAGGCATTCGAATCAGATCAATGCCTGAACCACCTTTGTGGCTTCTGTTGATGTGCAGAAGCAACAGATCTACTCCAAGCTCTTTCTGGATGTTAGAGCTCCTCAACCTAACTCTAAGGTTGAGTCCACCCATCTTACGAGGAAAATCACCAGAGTCAGTCGGATTCATCATCTTCTAACTGTGGAATCTCCTTCATGTCATGTTTTGTGGAAATACTTCTAATACCTGCAGAGATATTTGGTCAGTGCCATCCACTGGACCATGCTGCTGCATGACTCACAGTGTTGCTCAGACTGCAGTCTTTATGCAGAGCAGGAATGTAAAAAAAACACTTTTTGTGCTGTATATTTGTATGCAGTTTTACACTATGTCTCAGACAGTCTTTGAAGATCTTGCATGCATGTGTTGAAATGATATTTGGGTTCAAAACACGTACATGGGTCAAACTTACCTGATTGCTTCAAGCTGATGGATGTGATCAAGCATCCTTCGTAGGTCATCTTTAGACAAATCCACATTGACTTCCACAACAGTTTTCACAGTTGTTTTCAGGCAAACGTCACTGAAGCAGCTGTGAAAGACACAGTTTCACTTATTTTCTACAGTACGTGGAATTTGTTGTACAAAATGTGTGCATTATTCAGTTTCTTAAACATCAGTGTACCTTTTGTCCAGCTTCTCACAGACGATTTTGGTGGTCTGTATGTATCTGTCCAGCTGATATGCCAGCACTTCCACATTCTGAAGTTTGGGAAGGAAGAAGACATTTGCATCTCTTTTAAACTCCAGGAGGAGAGGACAGATCTGTCGAGCAGCACCGATGACAACCTGAACATATTCAAAGCTGATCTCGTTGGGCAGGCGTAACACCTGGTTCTCCATGAACACATGCAGTGAGGTGACCGCCAGCTTCTCCACTGCATCCAGGAAACAGTGGAGCTTCTCCAAACCTCTCACAGTGTCCTTCAACACTTCATCCAGCTCTTTCCTCAGCTCTGCACGCCTGTCATCATCATTCAGGGTTACCTTGCTCTTTAGATATTCCAGAAAAGCCTCACCTTTGTCCTCTGACTCAGTAACATGGCTGATGTTTAGGTCGATTTTGTCTGCCCTGTCTTTGATGTCCTTTATATGGCTTGACTCTGTCTTTCTCGAGGTCTCCCATTCAGAGAACACTTGACAGAATTCTCTCACTGTGTTGATGTAAGTGAGGGTATCTGTGCTGTAGCGGCACAAGGCCTCTTGTAGTTCCTTTCTGTAAGACAAAACATCATCCATTTGAGATTTCAAAACAAATTCAAACTAATATATACCTGGTTAAGACAACCTGAGCCTGTGTGCGAAATAGGTGTTAACATTTTTTTGGTGGAAAGTTAGAGAGCTCATTTAAAAGTATACATGTCCTGGTCGTGTTTTTTAACCCTAAAACTTGAAATGAAAAATGAAATGAAAAATACTTTATTCATCCCAGAAGATAGAGAAAGTTCACTTCACAGTGTCTTAATATTTATTGTCTACTAATATTAGTTTATGTGTTTTTCCTTCATCTCACAGCTTTCATTTAATGACAAGAACTTTCTCTTAGGTTTAATAATTATATTTTGTACAGTGTGCTGCAGTATTCAGTAAAATATCTGTGCAAAGGGGTGTCAGTGTGAATCTGCTGTGGCAGGAAGCCTTGAATAAGAGTATAAGAGGCTCTCTGCATCTTCAGTGTGAATTAAACACTTAGGCTCAGCTGCAGTTTGTTTTGGACTGATAGTAGCACCTGCTTTAAAGTTCT